CAGTCTGGGCGACAGAGTGAGACTCCAACTCAAAAAAAAAAAAATGAATACACTTATTCATTCAGCTGATTTACTGTCTTTTAAAAGGATGCGGGGTACAATTCAGAATTAGGTATACAAGTGGTCATTGTACAGGTGAAGTTTGGGCCTCCTTTGGTCCCTACTTCACCTGGTTTGAGATCAGTTACCCTTATTGACATTATGTGCCCCCCACCTCCCCTCGAGTGTCTTTTTATGGGTCAGACTTTTTTGTTCAGGAAACAGCAATGCATGGAAAAGGCAAAAATTCCGGTTTTGGGGGCTGAGTGCGGTGGCTCACACTTGTAATCCCAGCACTTTGGGAGGTGGAGGCGAGAAGATTGCCTGAACCTAGAGGTTCGAGTCCAGCCTGAGCAGCATGGCGAGTCCTCATCTCTACAATAAATCAAAAAATTATCTGGATATGGTGGCATGTACCTGTGGTTCCAGCTACTTGGAAGGCTGAGGCGGAAAGATCACCTGAGCCCAGCTGTTTGAGACTGTGGTAGCCATGATCGTGCCACTACACTCCAGCCTGGGTGACAGAGTGAGACTCAAAAAAAAATTCCTATTGTGGACAATCAAGCAAGTAAGCTAGTAAAATATATAAATAGATAATATGTAGTATGCTTCAGCAAATACAAAGCAGAAAAGAGTAATAACATATGCTAGGGTGGGGATGGCATGATGGTATTTTACATTGGAGGAGGGCATTGGGTCAGGAAAGTCCTTACTGATAAGACAGTTTGTCAAAGACTTGAAGAAAGTGATGAGTAAGCAAGTGGTTATCTAGGAAAACAGCAGGCAGTGGGAGCAAAACTCAGAGGCCCTGAGGCAGAAGTATTCACCTGTGTGGGGACAACAAGAGGGCCCTTGTGCCAGAACTAGAATGAGTGAGGGCAAGAGTGGCAGGACATGGAGGCGGAGGTTGGTGGGAAAGCCAAAGCTCCAAGGGAGGACATTGTAGGAGTTTGCAGAGACTTTACTGTGTGAGATGGGAAGCCACTGAAGGGTTTTTTGTTTGTTTTTGCATCATGGTTTCACTCTTGCCCAGGCTGGAGTTCAGTGGCACGATCATGCCTTACTGCAGCCTTGACCTCCTGGGCTCAGGCGACCCTTCTGCCTCAGCCTCCCGAGTAGCTGGGACTATACAGGTGTGCTCCACCACACTTGGCTAATTTTTTGATTTTTTTGTAGAGATGAGGTCTTGCTATGTTGCCTAGGCTGCTCTCAAACTACTGGGATTAGGCAGTTCTCTCACCTTGGCCTTCCAAAGTGCTGGTATTATAGGTGTGAGCCACCGTGCCCAGCCTCACTGGAAGGTTTTTGACAGAGAAGTAGTATAATTTGAGTTACCTTTTATTTTATTTTATTTTTTTTGAGTTGCAGTCTCATTCCATCACCTGTGCTGTTGTGCAGTGGCACACTCACAAGGCCACCCCACCGTCAAACTGGTGGGCTCTGGCAATCCTTCCGCCTTAGCCCTCTTAAGTAGCTGGAATCACAGGTGCGCACTACCATGCCCAGCTAATCTTTTTATTTATTGTAGTGACGAGGTCTCATCATGTTGCCCAGGCTGGTCTCGAACCCGCAAGCTCAGGCAGACCTCTTGCCTCGGGCTCCCAAAGTGCCAGGATTACAGGTTTGAGCCTCTGTACCTGGCTATTTGTTTTTTTGAGTTGCGGTCTTACTTTGTCTCTCAGGCTTGAGCACGGTAGCACAATTGTGGTCTACCAAAGCCTCAAACTTCTGGGCTCAAGTGATCCCCCTTCCTCAGCCTTCTGAGCAGCTGGGACTACAGGTGCATGCCACCACAACCAGCTAATTTTTGAGGTTTTTTTTTTTGTTTGTTTTGTTTTTTGCTACAGACAAGGTCTCACTATGTTGTCCAGACTGATCTTGAACCCCTGGGCTCAAAAGATCTTCCTGCCTTGGCCTCTGGAAGTGCTGGGATTACAGGCCTGAGCCACCAGCCCAACTTCCTGATTTACCTGTTAAAAAGGTCACTTCAAGCCGGGCTCGGTGGCTCAGCCTGTAATCCCAGCACTTTGGGAGGCTGAGGTGA